GCCCTGGGTGCATGCTAGGAGCATATGGGAAGGGATGCCCTGCCTTCAGAGATCTAGTTCTTAAGGGGTAACGGCAACATCCATGGGTCAGGGGTGGAAGTGAGGAAGCAGGGAATTAAAGAGGAAAAAAACAAAACAAAACCTTAGGCCTGAATCAGCACCACCAGTTGTTCTTATCCATCAACTTCCCTAGATCATTTGTATCCATTTCTGTTTAAAATAAAGTATATGTAAAGTTGTGTGTGTGTGTGTCTGTGTGTGTGTCTGTGTGTGTGTGTATAATGTTCAGATGTGAAAATTGATGTATCTCCTTGTGATGAGAACATTGGTATGGCAGTGAATTATTTCTTTATAATTTATGTCAATCCTATCTGCAAAAAGGATTAAAAGTGTTTCTGCATTCTACCTTCCAAGTCAAAATCTGGGTATCTAGAGTTTCATTTTTACAAAGCTCTCTCTTTTCTTTCCAGATCACATTTGTGGTAAACTAGTCAATATTACTATCTGGATTAGAGTTGTTTGACTATCTTTTTTTTTTTCCTCAAGGAATTCACATTTAAGTGTATTTCACTATAGACATCATGTTTTAATCTAAAAAGAAGTATCTCTAGTGTAGATGCCAAAATAAGAACTTAACCTTCCAGTAAAGATGATGGAGTAGGTAAACACTGTACTTGCCTCCTCTCACAACCACATCGAAATTACAACTAAAGTACAGAATAGTCATCACTGGGAGTGGCCTAAAGTCTAGTTGAACAGAAGTTCTACAACTCAGGACACACAGAAGAGGCTACCTTGAGACTGATGGGAGGGGCGGAAATGTGAAAAGGCTGGTCTCACCCCTGTATGTGGTGGTTGAGAATTGGAAGAACTATCTCAGCTGTGGAGATCCCCCCTCTGGAAAAGCAAGGGTTCCCAACCCCTCACCAGGCTCCTCATCTCAGGATTCCAGTGCCAGAAAGAGAAGTCCCCACAATTTCTGGCTGTGAAAACCAGTGGAGATTGTGGCTGAGTGAGACGGAAGGCTGAAGGAGTAGCAGATTCTCCTTTTAAGGGGTCCATATGTGGACTTATTTGGTGAAAGACTTACTCACTCAGAGCTCTGGATCTGGGGCAGCAGCTCAAAAGACCCCAAGATCACACAGGGAGGAACTATGTTATCTAGCTTCAGGTAAGGGCTGTGGGGAGATGACTCTCTTCCAGATATAGGTGTTGGCAGAAGGCAATGCTCCTTTGTTGAGACCTCCCCTGCCCACCATGCAGACCCTGATGGGTACCATATCTGAGTCTCCATCAACTTAGGTGGCCCCACCCAGGTGATACCCTGAGACCCCACCCTTCTAATGTGCAGGCCCACCCAAGCCTCTTACAGTGGATTTTATATACAAATGACCTTTCTTGGCTCATAATGTGACCTTTCCTAAAATCTCTCAAAGGTTCACAAACCTAAACAGCAGCATCTGGCCTCAGCGTGCCCCATGCCTCTTGCCGATCAGCCCTAAGCACAGCACTAGTGGCAGCTGGCCTTGCTCATGTCATGGTTTGGCCTCTCAAGGCACATCCAAGCCTAGCATGGGTAGCTGCCATCTGAAGATTGCTCATGCCAGGTAACCTTGGACAGGGCACAAACTGCAGCCGAACTTGGTCTGCAGCAGGCACTCTCCCAGGAGGCCCCAGCCTGCATGCTCAGTGGCTGGCTTCAGTCTGAGCTAGAGCACCACCCAGGGTCACATCTGAGGATGACACACCCAAAGGGAAGACAGGGCAGGCACTGGAGTCCTGCAAAAGCAAATCTTGCTCTATAGGGTCAGACCCTGCATAACAGCTCCTCCACTGGTGATGTCCAGTCATCAGGACCAATCAGCCTGAGAGTCAATCACTCCCATTGATGAGCAAATAGCAACCAAGACTCAACTACAATAGTAGGGCACACAAAACCCATACAAGAGACTCATCTGGAACACTTGACTCAGGTGACCAAGGAAGACCCACGGCACACTTTCTATATAATGCCACTCTACTAAGACTGGGAGACATAATAGCCTTACCTATTACCTAGAAAGAAATACAAACAGGCAGCCAAAATGGGAAAACAAAGAAACATGTCCCAAATGAAAGAATAAAACAAATCTCCAGAAAAAGAAGTAAACAAAATGGAGACAAGCAATCAACCAGAAGCAGAGTTCAGAACACTGGTTATAAGAATGCTCAGAGAGGGGGAAAAATGGCATAGATGAAAGAGGCTTTGTTCATCCTTTTCGCAACCAAATCAAAGTTGTGACAGAAACAGAGCAAACAGCAAGGAAAGTCACCTGGGATCCAGATGAACAGAAGCACTACAACTAGGAAGAGAAATAATTAATTGACCTGCAATGGTAGAAGATAGGAGGGGGCAAAGACACAAGGTTGCTTGGTTCCAAGTGGCTGAGTGGGACAGAGGCTGTGGAGGTAGGTAGCAGAGGGCAGCTACGGATGCCTCTTAAATGAGTTGTGTCAGCGAGTGGAATTTTGTGGTGATGGACCTGCTTCTTCTGAGCACCATCACAGGGTTGGCTTCTGGGGGCCCCAGGGACTTACAGGGGGACACTGAGTTGTTGGATGAGGGATGGAGCTAAGGACATATCTTGGACAGAAGTGCCTGCAGTATCCACTGTTCCTCTGTTGAGCCCTTAACCCTCTCAGTGTGCCGACACAATGCCACCATAGCTGAGACGTCATCAAATTGGATAACAGAAGTTGCTCTGCCCAGAGGATTTCTTGAAACTCTGCCTCCCCCAACTCATGGTCCCACCCAAGCCACATTCAGATGTGTCCTCAGCACCTCAGGTGTTCCTTGCTGAGCAGTGCCAAACTCACACTGGTGGCAGCTGACCACGTTTTTTGTCATGGTCTCTCGAGGCAACTATAAGCACAGCATCTGTGGATTGCTTGCTGAATCTTAACAGGTGGCATTAGAGGGGCATAGAGTGTTGCTAAACTTGGCCTGCAACTGATCCCCTCTTAGGGCTAGACACCTAATACGCAAAGTTGCACTAGTAAGACCGGGGAACTTAGTTGCTTTGCTCAGTACATAGAAACAGACACAGAAAGGCAACCAAAATGGGAAGACAAAGAAGCAGAAACCATATGAGAGAACAGAACAGAGATCCAGGAATAACGAAGTCAAGCAACCTAACAGAGGCAGAGTTTAAAACCCTGGTTAAAAAAGATGCTCAATAAACTTAGGGGAAGTGTAGATGAATTCAGTGAGAACTTTAACAAAGAGATAAAAAACATGAATATGGAAATGGAAATTATAAAAGGGAACTAGTCAGAAATGAAGAACACATTATATTAGATGGAATAAACAGAGTGGATAAAGAAGAGGAACAAACCACCAATATAGAAGATGGAGAAGCCAAGGACACTCAATTAAAATGGCAAGAAAAAAAAGCCAAGACTATAATACTAATTTAAGGAGCCTATAGGACTCTATTAAAGGTAAAAATATCCATGTCATAGGGGTACCTGAAGGAAAACAAGACGTTAAAGAGCTATTTGAAGAAATAATGATGGAAAACTTTCCTCACCTGGAGAAGGAATAGACATACAACCCGAGGGTAGCTCAGAAAGTCCCCAAAAGATGAATCCAAAGAGACCCACAACAAGACACATAATAATTTAAATGCCAAAGGTTAAATACAAAGAGAGAATCTTAAAAGCAACAACAGAAAAGCAATGAGTTACCTATAAGGGAATTCCCATAAGACTGAAAGCTGATTTCTTTACAGAAACTTTGCAGACTAGAACAGATTGGCAGGAAATATTCAAAGTGATGAAAAGCAAGGACCTACAACCAAGATTACTTTACCCAATGAAGCTATCATTTAGAATAGAAGGACAGATAAAGAGCTTCCTAGATTAAAAAAAAAAAAAAGCTATGTAATATTACTGAGCCATGAAAAAAAAAATGAAATCTTGTCTTCTGCAACATCATGGATGGACCTAGTAGGTATTGTGCTGAGTGGAGTACATCAGACAGAGAAAGGCAAATGTCATATGTAGAATCTAGAGAATGGTATAAAGAAGCAAACAACAGAAACTCAGAGATACAGAGAACATTTTGATGGTTGGCAGATTAGGGGGTGGGGTATAAGTGAAGGGGGAGGGTATTAAAAAGTACAAAATGGTAGCTACAAAATAGTCATGGGGATGTAGAGTATAGCATAGGAAACAGTCAGTAGTGTTGTATTAAATATGTATGGTGTCAGATGGATAATGGATTTATTGGTGTGATCACTTCATAAATTATATAAATGTCTGGTCACTGTGTTGTACACCTGAAACTAATATAATATTATATGTCAACAATAATTGAAAAAAATAAAAATATAAAAATTTAGAAAAAATAAAAACCTACCTGTGGAGAGTCAGAATGAAATGGTAAAAATGCAAACTCAAATTTGTAGACATGGGGTCTGTCTTGTTTCTGGCATTTGTTGGGCATATATATTTTTTTGTTTCATATGTGAAATGAGGTTGATGATATTATTTGTCTCAGGTTTGTTTTGAAAATTAACATGAGAGAATTGCTAAGATTTGTAAGTTGAACAATACTAGTCATATATCATGGCAGAGTTTCAGACTCTCTGATACTCTGGTGATAATACTGGAGTGGGGAACTACTTGTCTTGATTGCATTATATCAGTCAAGAAAATTCATTATCTACCTTCTTCATAATAGAAGACTTATATGCAAATAAGTCTTCTTGGGAACTAATCGGAGCAGTACTCAATATGTGCCTAAATGTGGTCTCCGCCTTTGTTGACATTTAGAATAAAACTCAGGAAATGACACTGATACTTTAAGGTATTTGGGTGTCTAATACTGGGCACTTGTCTTCAAGGGAGTCTGTTTTGTCTCTGTAACTTGGCTCTCAGGAAAAAGAACAAAGCATGTTGTTATATAGCAGTTTCTCTTGCCTAGTCATTTTCACAATGATATTTCTTCACCCTCACAGATGTGGCTGGCTTCATGGAGGCAGAATCCCTCATCTCAGTGATGGAGGGTTATGATGCTCGGCTCAAATGCAAGGCAGCTAAATATATCTACAATCAACTTGCTTGGTTCAACCCCCTTGGAGAGAAGTTTCCTGTTACAGACACAGAAAGCTTTAAAAATAACTACTCCATCTCATTGACACTGGTGATTAAGAATGTGACACGGAAGGATAAAGGGCAGTACAAGTGCAAAGCTTGGACTCAGAGGAATATCACCCAAATGATACAACACAATACTCAGCTCTTAATTAGAGGTAGAATTGAAGGGTCTTTCCCATAACTTCTTAGCATTTGAGCCAACTGCTCGGTGGGCTGTGGAACCAGAATAGGGCTCTTGCTTCTGTATTACTTACAGGCTGGGACAGTCCTTTGTTTCCTGAAGCTCTTAGAGATGTTCCAAGGAAAGGATCTCTAATGAATTGTAATCTCTGTGTCAGATAGATGATAGAAAAATTTGGGAATGGAACTTTTTCGTCTTTCTAATTCCCAAACTATTTAGTAGCCATTTTTATTGCTTGAGATAGCTAAGGATGATCTTTCTAAGTGTGCAGATAAAGGAATAACTTGAAGGATACAAAATGCAAACTTTCATACACTTTACCTGCACAGTAGGTTTTTATATGTATCTATCCTCTCTTCTCCTAAATATGGAACACTTAACCATCCAAATGTCTGAGTAAACATTGAGTAATGAGACAAAGATTAAATACCATATTTGTGATACCCTGCCTCAAAATTTGTCATCTCTTACCCTGGTCTCTATAGAAAGAGTTGCTCCATTCATTATTGAGAATCTCACCAATATTGAGGTCAACAGCAGTGGCAAGATTTTGCTAGATTGCAAAGTGAGTGGAACACCATGGCCTGAGATCCACTGGTTTAAAAATGGAATTCCTGTTCTCCCTGCTTCAGGTGAGTCTGAAGATCTTGTGTCGTTTTTCCAAATCTGAGGACTAATCAGGAGGGCCTGAATTGTTGTAGCTCCTTAGAGATTACTTGACTTCAAAACTGTTCCAAGACAGACTTAATGAGATAGGGGCTTCACATGTTCTAAAACTAGGTTTCAGGGAGAACACCTCAGATAATAATTGGTGGCATTTTCTATGCAGGAATCTTCTTTGAGAACAACACCCTTATTATTGAGAGAGCCAAAAAAGAAGATGAGGGCTTATATCTGTGTAAAGCGACCAATGAGTTGGGAGAAGTCAGCACAACAGCTCTTATCACTGTGGGAGGTAAGTTGGAAATTCCTGGCTACATTGGTAATCAGTAATGGAACTCAAAAATGCATTTGGTGATGGGACCACAGTGTAGAAGGACTATGAAAAAAGCAAGCATGGGTATATAGTAAATACTGTCCTTAGTATATCCACTTTTAATGGGAAAGTATGTGGAACAGTATGGTTTGGAAAACCTGAGTTCACAGCCCCATATTTGTGAATTCAATGGGATCTTAAACAAGTCATTTAGCCTTTCTGGGTCTCAGATTTCTCATTTCTGAAGTGATAATAACACCAGTTGTATTCTATCTTTCAGAGATACTACAAATGAAGGCCAGGAAATGGGAATGCTTTACAAAAGATAGAGTAGCAAATGAGAGTACTTCCCCTTGGTTTGTTGGAAAATATTGGGTGGCATTTGGAAATATAAACATAGAATGTTACACTTTTGATTACCTTTCATTGTAAATATGAAGCCCAAAGAGAGTAAGACACTTGCTGATAGTTATGGCAAGATCTTTTGACTCAAATGTCCTATGCTGTTATGAAGAATATTTAACTATTAAGGGCAAAGCTTTATATGTTTTAAAAAAATGTTACTGGTTGTAATAACCATCTCGGCAACTCTACAGTCATTCGAAAATTCAGCTATACTCCTCTAGGGAATATCAAGCAAATATAAGGGCATATAAATTGTTTTAACAATCTGGCCTCCCAGAGGTCTGAGAAAATTTAGAATCTGCACTATAAAAAAACAAACAAACAAAAAAAACCCAGGAAACTAATAATAATAATATAGCTAAAATAAGTTATCTGCCATGTATGGTGCTACTTTCACTTCTCATTATTTATTTAATTCTCTTCATAACTCTATGTGGTAGGTATTGTATTATTCTCATTTTTAAATGGGGAAACTGAGGCACAGAGAGGTTATTAACTTGCCCAAGGTCATACAGCTGGTAAGCGGTGGAGCCAGGATTTGAACTCAGGTAATTTTCTGCCCCAGATCATTGTGTGTGTGTGTGTGTGTGTGTGTGTGTGTGTGTGTGTGTGTACCCATATCCAATATATTTTCAACTCATTCCATTGAGTCATCTAGAACATTTATCAATGATATTTTTTCCTAAGTCTCAGTAGGCAATGCCCACACACCATAAACATTTCACATACAATCTGGCACTTGGTGACAGTTTTTTAGCCATGAAATGTGCTTTGTAAGAGGCAGTTATTTTCTCTTTCTTCCTCTCAGTCACCACAGTGAACTAACTCATTTTTCTTTTAATAAATTTTGTCTTCAATGTTTTTACAGTTTCTGAAGAGAAATCAAACATTGAAGTCATCATTCTTGTTTGCACTGGACTTGCAGCTACCCTTTTCTGGCTTCTTCTAACCTTGATCATTCGCAAACTCCAAAAGGTAAGAGAAAATAGGCACTTTGGGATCTTGAAGCTTGTTAATATGCATTTTAATTTTTTTTGTCTCAGATTAGTCTCTTGGAAGATGGTAGTATTTATCCAGCCAAGCAGTGTGTGTGTGTGTGAGAGAGAGAGAAAGAGAGAGCGAGAGAAAGAGAGAGAGAGAGATACAAAGACAGATACACAGATACACAGAGACGCAGAGACACAGAGACAGAGAGAGACAGAGATATGGAGAGACAGAAACAGAGAGTTATGTGTGTTGGGGATTAAAATGTGATAGAGTCTTTACATCAAGCCTCCTAAAACATTGAGAACTGGTAATACATCTTCCCACTGAGACTCCATCTTCAGTTTTAATGTTGTAAAGAATGATTTTTATTGGTTTGTAATGTATCGACTGGACTGATGTTTAATATTTCTACATATACTACATAATTATTTAAGTGTTATATCTACTAATGTGGTATATTTTCATAGAATATGGATTAACATAGAGTTGCCACAGCTAAAGCACTATTAAGTGATAAATAGTCTTTTATTTATTTTTGATTCCAAGGCTACTTGTTTTTTTTTTTAATATTTTACATGTGTTAAGAACTCCATTTTATAAAAGTTAAACTATTAAGAGAAAAATTAAAGTATCAACTTTAGCACATTTCCCTTTTGCTGAGTACTGACATAGGTACTTGGTAGGAAGACAAGGTTAGACCTGACATTCCTATTGAAATGTGTCAACAAGTCTTTTAGGCCAAGCTAATGGACAGCTGTGGTAGATATTCCAGGGGTTTCATTGAGCTCCAAGTTTTCCTTCTAGTTAAGCCAATAGGGTCATATCTCAGCCCCAAGCCAAGACAACTGTCACTGGTCCTGTTTTTTCTTTAGACTCCAGGAACTCAGATTTTATTTCTCAAATGATGTCACCTACCTTATCCTATTTAATAAAATCTATTCGAGGCTGGTTACAGAGTTGGCCAATCTTATTGGTTTCCCTTTCCTTGCTATCACTGAACCCCAAAACCAGATCTTTTGATTTAAAGGGTTTCAATGTTATCACAAAAAAGAAATAGAACAGACAAAAATTAATGCAAGGATAGGAGAGGAAGTTAACAAAATTTCCTAGATCTTAGCTCTCCTGGATATTACATATAGTCTGGGATCACTTATTACACATGTCTTTCTATTTTCTTTATAAATAAAGGTAAAACTTAAATCTCCCCTCCTTAGAATGTCTCTCTGTTTCTCCTTTGCTAACATTCTGACATAAGGATGCATCTAATATGGAGATAGAGGTTGGGAATAAAAAGTATGTATTAGAAACAAATTGGTCATTTTTATCTCAGGGAGACTCTAGATGGATGATATTCAACCTGCTCACAGGAAAGGTGAATCAAGGACATCATTTTCCATTTGGTATACACACTGAACTTTTATGTGGAGTCGTCTACACTTCCTTGACTCCCTTAATTGTAGGTTCAGAAGATGTTCGATGTGCCTCAGGCCCTAGTCAATGCTGAGGCCAGAGTCATAATCCCCAGCTTGTACATATTTCTTCTCTGTTCCTAACTCAGTGTGTGACTTTTGGTAAGTTCTTTTACCTCTCTAATCCTCTCTATTTTCCTCCATAAAGTGAGGGGATTGGACTAGAGCACTGTTTTCAAGCATTTTTTGTTACAGAGACCATCAGTGAAAAATACATATTCTGCCATGACCCAGTATTAACAGAATCAAGAGTTTTATTAACAACATGTAATTCAGAACCTGCAGCACACGCTCAGTGTTGGCGGCGGTGGCGGGTCGGGAAGTAGAAGGTGACCTGGCTCAGCACGCGGCCACCATGATGTGAAGCGTCTTTTGATGGATAAAGGTTTAAAATTTTGAGTGACCTCAGAAAAATGGCAGAATGAGAGATGTCACCAGACCTCTCAAGTTGAAAAGACAATAAACTGAACATCTAAAACTGTACAAAACAAAAACAAACAAACAAAAAACCCAAACTGCTCACAAGCGCGTCGGAATGTGGAATCTGTGCATTAAAAAGCTACCACAGGTCAAAAACCTGGATGTCAGGTGGTGGACTGAGAGAAACAAAGAAACTGCCTCTCGCAGCTGGAACTCCCTGTAGGATGAAGGAGAAGAGAGAAGGTGCAGAGAGTTCCCTGAACAGACCTGCCTGGAAGTGCCGTGAGCTGCACGTGGCCGAGGGCAGTGCACAGTCATCGGGGCAGAAGGCAGAGAAACAGGGATAGCAGAAAAGTGAGGATGGCAGAGAAACAACAGTTGGTTTTTACCAACCAGGATTGCAAAACAAAGGCTGAGACGCAGCCCCCATTCCCCAAAACAGAGGGCCCCTCCTCCATATCCTCCAGACCAAACACCGCAGAGCTCCAGAGGAATATGAGCAAATGCTACCGAAACTGTCCCTAACACTGACAGAGACTGAGATGGAGGGTAGCAAGTGCAATGAAATGTCTATAAGGAAAAAAAAAGGCATTATTAAGGCTTTATATAAAGCAGGGATCCAAGAGGATTAGACTCCAACTACTAAAACCAAAAGAAAAACACCTTCTTTGCAACAGGCTAAAGAGAGACCTTTATATAATAAACATTTCTGGGGGAAAAAAAGCAGAATACATTTCGATCAATGCTCAGGAGGAGAAATAGTCCATTAAACACCATGAACAACCAAGGTAACAAGGCATCTCAGAAAGAAACAGAAAAATCTACAGACACAAGTACAGGGAGATGTGAAGGCGCAGGAGCCATAGCCTTGGAAAGAGCCACAAGTTCAACCATACTATTGGTGGTTCTCGCTGTGCAGCTTGGAGAAGACATAATACTCTCCAGCCTACACCATTACTGCTATGTTTATAAAATTCTTTCCTAATAAACAATTTAGGACTGTCATGTCTGCTTAAAAGTGTTCTTTAATTTGTCTGTTAAAACTAGTCTTCAGATTTGTTTCATGAATGCATTGTCAAATTATGAAAGTTAAAATGCAATAACATTTGAAGACTTAAGCGATGGTGTATCTTGTTTGTCAAATACTTTTCTCTTTGCTTTATCTTACTAGGGAGTTTACATGTCAGTGTTTAAAATGCTGTTTGATATAATAAGTATAAAATAAATACTGTGAAAAAGGAAGAAAAAATCAATGACAAAGAAAGAATTCTCAAGATAGCCAGGGAAAAGAAAACGGTAACCTATAAAAGGAAAACTCATTAGATTATCAGACTTCTCGGCACAAACCTTACAAGCCAGAAAGGAGTGGAATCAAATATTCAAACTATTAAATAAAAGGAACTACCAGCCTAGAATAATGTATCTAGCAAAGTTTTCCTTTAGATATGAAGGAGAAATAAAGACCTTTCCAGACATACAAAAATTGAGGAAATTCTTCACTATGAGGCATGCATTACAGCAAATACTGAAAGGGGTCAGCTCATCTAAAACAAAATGACAAAAAAATACATAATTAGGAGTAAGGTGACTAGCAGGCAGATAGAAATGAGGAGTGCATCCTTTACAAAGAATAGGGCAATTATAAGCTTAAACAATAAAAAGAGATTTGCTTTAGCAAGATAGTAATGAATGTTCAGCATACATAGGGACAAATGGAGACAACAATGGCTGACAAAGGGAGGATTCAAAGATCCAAATTCACAAAAGAGAATGCAGATAAGGCACGCGCAGAAGAAAATGGACGAAAAGAAACTATCCTTTACATATTCGTAATGGTAACCGCAGGCCAAAGATTCAAAACTGAAGTATATAACATAAAACAAGAATGAAGGAGAGAAAAGCCACTAAAACAAAACCAAGAAAAAAAAATAGAAACACAAGGACAAGGAAGAAATGGAAACACCAAGCAACAAGAAAGCAAAAGATAAAATGCTATAAGAAGACCTCATATTTCAATAATCATCATAATGTAAATAGACTGAACTCATCAATAAAAAGGCACAGAGTTTCAGAATGAATCAAAAACAAAACCCAACCTAATGCTACCTCAAGGAGACACATCTCAGCTCCAAAGACAAATATAGACTCAAAGTGAAAGGGTGGAAAATGATATTTCAAGCAAATGGCATTTGGAGAAAAGCGGGAGTAGCAATACTAATATGAGATGAAATAGACTTAAAAATAAAAAAGGTAAAGAAAGACACTGAGGGACACTTCATAATGATAAGGGGAATCCTGCACAAGTAGACATAACACATTAATGTCTATGCTCCCAATCATGGAGCCCTGAAATATGTAAAGAAATTACTAGTAGAACTAAATGGAGAAATAGACCAAAACACTATCATACTAGGAGACGAACCCTTAGCCAACCTTTTACTTAATGGTGAAAAACTAAAAACTTTCCCTCTAAGATCAGGAATAAGGCAAGGCTGTCCACTATTGCCTCTGTTAGTCAACATAACATTGGAGGTCCTAGCAAGTGCATCAGGCAAGAGAAAAATATAAAATGCATTCAAATAAGAAATGAAGAAGTCAAACTGTCACTATTTGTGGATGACATGATTCTCTATATAGAAAACCCTAAAGATTCCACAAGAATACTACTAGAAACAATAAGTGAATACAGTAAAGTGTCTGGATACAAAATCAGTGTTCAGAAATCCATAAGTTCCTATACTCTAATAATGAAGTGTCAAAAAAAGAAGTGGAAAAAATAATTCCTTTTGCAATCACAACAAAAAAAGAATAAAATACCTAGGAATAAATTTAATGAAACATCTGAAAGACCTATATAATAAAAATTACAAGACCCTATTAAAAGAAATCAAAGCAGATACAAAGAAATGGAAAGATATTCCATGTTCTTAGATTGGAAGAATCAACATAGTTAAAATGACCATTTACCTAAAGCATTATACAGATTTAATGCAATTACCATCAAAATCCCATTTGCATTTTTTAAAAAAATAGAACAAAAAATGGTCAGATTTGTATGGAAGCACAAAAGACACCGAATTGCTAAAGCCATCATGAGAA